AACAAGAAAGGTTTCCTCTCAGGCCGAGGACTTGCAGAGGACCACAGCATCATAAAGAAGCTGGGTGAGCAGGGGAAAGGCCCATGGGCTTGAGGAGGTCTGCAAATGCCCAGTCACTGGGTGAGCAGGCCCTGCTTTTCCGTGCATGCTGGGGCTGTGATAAGCAGGAGTGTAGGCCCTTTATTGAACAGAGGGTCTTGACACCCAGCATGCCCTCAAATGACAACAATAATATTCCCATTAAATGCCTGATACATATTGATGGCAGTAGATAGGTTGATATGGAGCCTATATGGATAGATATGTGATGGATAGATAGATAGATAGATAGATAGATAGATAGATAGATAGATGAGCAGTAGATAGATTGGCAAATCAGAAGCATGGCAGATGCATGGATTAGATTAGATTAGATTAATGGACAGTAGAAGATGGGTGCGATGGGTTGGATTGGATGAGTTAATAAATGTATTGGGTGACTGAATAGATGGATTGGATTGGAAGGATTGGAATAGATGGGTGGACAGATGGATGACTCGATGGATGGATGGATGGATGGATGGATGGATGGATGGATGGATGGATGGGTGAAAGATGGATTGAAGTAAGGGATAGATGGACAGGTTAATTAAACAAGTGTATTGGATGAGTTAGCAAGTGGATGGATGAATGAATGTGTGGGTAGAAATATGGATGGAATGTAGATGACAATAAATGAATAATGGATGGATGGATGGATGGATGGATGGATGGATGGATGGACAGTATGATAAGCAAACATACAGGTTTTGACTACATTAAACTAGAATACAGAGATGGCTTCTGTAAAAATGACTGTCACTCCTCTACAATGGATGCCTCCACTGCTGCATCAGAAACTGCTAAATGGAGAACCCCCAGTTGCCAAGGTGTATTCTCTGAACCTGCTCTTCACACACCCTGACAGCCAGCCCTGCTGTATATCTAGCCCCTCTGGTAGAGAAAAAAGAGAGGCATGCTCAGTGGAAAAGAAATTATGGAGAGGGTCCGAATGCATCACTTCTCTGTTGTCTGCAGTGCCCTTGGCTTGCATACATCTTAATAATTGCACGATGACTCTGAGGAAGACCCAGACAGGAGCATGGGCAGGCAGCTCATTGTGCTTAGTGTCATGGCAGCTTGCTCAGAGCTGCCCTCTGCTAAAGCACATCCCTTTAAAAATAAATTCCCTCCCACAGTGTGTTCTCTTCCAGCTTGATCCATGAAATAAACACTGTTTTAAAAGATGCCAGAGTTAATTGCAAGCTCTCTGTGTCATGGGACTTTGTTCCCTTTACCCTTTATTGCCACTGGCTGTCAGAGCCTGTGCCAGAATCAGAAATACCAAAAAGTGACATGGCACATTAATCTCTGTGAGAGAAACAATACCCATTCATATTTTATGGAAAACAAGTGGGCTAATCAAACATTCACCAGCAAGCACCTCTGTGCTCTGTTCTGAGGGCAGCTTCTTAGCCAAACTGCAATTCCCCTCCCCATATGCTCCCAAGCAGAGCTGACCTCCCTCCGTATCAGTCCCTGAGCCGAGGATAAAGGCCCGCTCATCCAGCCTACATCCCACCTGTGAGCCAGGGCCTGCACATCAATGCCTGCATCTATTTAAGTAGAACCCCACTGTCCATGGCATCTGCCTGAGTACTCTGAGTAACTGTGAGTGGGTAGCATCCTTTAGACAAGAGAGACCGCCAGAAACCTTTCCAGCTTGGGTCCAGCAGAGTGATTCCTGCAAAGAAAGGAGGTGAAAACAAGAACTGTTTTGCCATCAGTGAGGTAATGACATAAGAATACATTCTCAACATTCACAAGTTCACCCATGAAGCTAGCTTCAAGAAGCATCCAGGACTGGAGAGATGGCTCAGCAGTTAAGAGCACTAGCTGCTCTCCCAGAGGACCCAGGTTCCATTCCCAGCACCCACATGGTGGCTCACACTGGCTGTAACTCCAGTTCCAGGGGAACTAATACCTTCTTTTGGCCCCTGCAGGCACCAGGCAAAACTCTCATACACATAAAATAATAAAAGTGTGGAAATCTGGAAACTTGTCTGAAGGAAATGGAAACTCCAGATATAAGTGTTGACAATAGGTTCAACAAAGATGTCTAAGCCAAAGGAACAAGAAACATCTCATACTGTGTTCATGTGCATTTGTTCAGAAAATTTAATGAGATGAGAGCTGAGCAGACAAGCTATATCTCTTCCGTGCCAGGTCCAGCCCTGGCTTCCTAGAAGGGTTATACTGCCCATCTTGCTTGCCTTCTCCCTTAACTGTTTCTTAATTTCTTTTCATCCCACAGCGCCGCATCTGTCTACCAAAGCATCTACTCATTCAGAGGACATTGGTTAGGGGCAAGGCTGAAAATGAGACCTATAGTTTGATGAAAATCCCATATATTTATATAATGTACTTTGTTCATGTCTATCCACCACGTCTCCCTCCAATTTCCACTCGTGCCCCCATACAGTCACCCCACCAATTACATGTCATTTCTAATAAGCCCTGAATCTGCTTTGTGTTGCCCACAGGTGCAAGCATATGTTGCTATCCCCTGGGGTATGGGCTACCTATTTACCAACAGTCATATCCCCAAAGTTACTCCCTCCCAGCCTTCAATGGTTCGTCGTTTATCTGCCAAGGATGAGGCTGCGGAGCTATCTCCCCTAGTTGGAATGCTGGATGCCTTGATCCTGTGCAGGCAAGCACAGCCGCTGTGAGTTGATGTTTGCAACAGACTCATCATGCCCAGAAGTCAGCATTCTATAGCTTGCCTCACCAGTCAGCGCTCATGTTCTTTCTTCCCCTCTTCTGCCATGTTCCCCGAGCCCTGAATCACTTTTTGGTGACTGTTCTACAAGTCCCACTGACAAGTTGGTTTCCAGAAGAGAAGGTCGTATTCATCCCTATCTCTCCATTTACAGTGCTTCAAATACAAATCAGGAATAGGAAGTTTAGAATAGGCCACTGCATTTGGCTACTAGTGCAGGACATTTTTATATAGTCAAAAAGGTGCAGAGAGAATGTGCCAACGATTCAAACAGGCATGGGTCCCTCGTTTGTGGGAAGGCCGCCGTGAGAGAGACAATTCTCCCAGAGCCTTCATTCTCTCCCCTTCATCCCCCACGTGAGTAGTGTTGCTAGCAGTAAGAGGTGGTTACGTGTGGCTTCCCACCCACTCCTGGCTGTCTGTGCACAAATATATCAATGAGGTCATTAGCACATGTTCATCCCCAGGGCTCTTCAAGCTGCTGACCTCCATTTGTTGTGTTTGTATGTATGTGTATGGCAGTGAGTACATGCATGTACATGTGTGTGCACTCATGTATGTGAGTGCATCGGAGGATTATCCATGTATGTTAACAGGTGTGTGTGTGTGTGTGTGTGTGTGTGTGTGTGTGTGTGTGTGTGTGTGTGTGTGTGTGTGCGCGCGTGTGGGAGAAATATGTGATGGTGAGTGAAAGTATGTACATGTGTGTGCACAAGTATGTGGGAGTAAGTGGGTGTGTACACACGTGTGTGGAGGTGAATGCATGCATGTGTGCACATGTGTGTGAAGGCCAGTCAACATCATGTATTATTTTCAATTACTTGCTACCAGGACAGAGGACAAGGGAGGATACAGACCCTATAAACACTGTGCCCAGACGCACTGGGCCTGCAGGCTGGGGAGCAGATGGCATGAACAGAAATGGCCTTGTTCTAGAAATCTCAGAACCCTGCAGGTTAAAATCATGAGAGCTGGGTGTCTAGAAATGCCTCCTGTTTGAATGTAGATGTGACATATTCCTTACCTACAAGGCCTTCACAGGTCCCCTGGGACTGTGTGGGGTGGCTCCAGGGCCCCTCTCATCTCTACCCAGTCAGTCAGACCTTCTGTTTGGAGGCTGTGTGCTCGACCTGTTTATCAAATCAGTGACTGAAAACTGATCAGCAAGTAGATTTGGAGAATGAGCAACAGTCAGCCATTAAGTTTCCTGATTAGCAGAGGCCTTGCTTCAAGTACCCATTTATTCAGGCCTTTCTGTGGCACATAAGCTAAGTATAGCAAGACCTGCTTCCAGTTCACCAGGAGTGCCTGGTGAGTCTGCCACTGTTGCCTGTGATAAAAGATCCTGTAAGAACAGGAAGTGCTCATCCTCAACAGCAGATCTCATTATAGAGGACGGGCAGGTGACTAAACCTGTTAGCTGGCTTCTAGAACATTCTAGGAAGTCTCCTGAGGATACCTAATTGGGGCATTTACTTTCTTGACATTTCCTTCTTCCTTTTTCATGTAAAGTGGGGCACCCCAGCTTTGGAGAGTCCTGAGTGACAGAATCAGTCAGCGTAAGCCTCCCACCCTCCCAATATTAACACCAGGCTACTTTGAGCCTGGTGGTATTTTCAGGTTTGGGTAAAATTCAGCATGTGACATCAAACCAAGTTCACCAAAGCCCAGGGCCAGAGCCAGTGTCCCTAATCCCTGGGTATTTTTCCTTAAAGACTGAAGAAAAAGAACCCTCAGTAGCCCAACCTCAGAGCCTCTGAAGCCTAGCCCGCTGAGGATCCCCTGCACGGCCCCTCACCCAAGCCCCTCCTCCTTGCCCTCAGCACACACCCCCACCTCTATACTAGGTCCTTCTTCACCCGCTCATGCCCAGTGCGGCATCTCTTGTAGACTTGTGCCTTTGGTGCGCCTGGGGAATGAAACTGAAGTCAGTAGAGTCCCAGAGAGCATTGCCACCCCCCTCCAAACTGCCAGAGCAGCCCCAGTGTCCCCAGATTCAGTTTCGGAGCCCAGATGCTGGGGCAGGGTTAACCGACCGCCCTAACACTCAGTTTTCCATAAGCTGCTTTCTTAGATCCACGTGAGTTCTTGGAGGACCGAATTTCAGAACCCCACATCTACACTGGCTGCTCTGTCCAGAAGTGGAGTGACCAGATTCTGGTGTCCACTGCCCCTGCTCACACTCTTGGTTTATTTCCAGGGAGTATTACATCACCATGGTGAAATGGGCCACCAGCACCAAGGTCGCTGTGACCTGGCTGAACCGGGCCCAGAATGTGTCTATCCTGACCCTCTGTGATGCCACCACGGGTGTCTGCACTAAGGTACGGGGACAGAGGAGGGGGTGAAGGAATGAATGGCCATAGCGTGGAAGATGGTGTCCAGTCGCTTGGAACCCCTCAGGCTGGAGAAATGTGAAGCCCAGCTTAGCTCCTTCACTGATGCTATGTCCAGCCTTTGGTTTGGTGCCACCTGGTGGATAAGTCAGATATTGCTACAAAATCCCTGGGCAGAGCCCAACAGCTGCAGTCCCACTCAGGGGCCCTCGCAGGCAAGGGTCTGTTTCCCTTTACACTGGCCGCTGCTGTGCTGGGAACACTACTCTCCTCGTTCTCTGTTTCTCAAAAGAGGATGGGACTGGCCCAGAGCCTGACCCAGCTACAACAAGTGCTCAGTCCAAGCACACCCCTCCCCCCATCATCACCCCAGAGTCAGGCAGGGCAGGTCCAGGCAGACCAGCAGTATGTCTAGGAACAGAAGGCAGCCCAGGGTACCCTTACCTCCTGGCCAGGGCAGCATTCTCTCCCCTCTGCTCTGTAAGCCAGCCCTCAACAATGCTGAGCCACAGGACTAAGAAAGTCACCTCCCAATGAATTTAAAAGACCAAGTGACACTCCAGGCCAATCTTCCAACAAGAGTTTTGACCCTAAGTTTCTATTTTTCTAACAACATAACAACCACCAGGCCTGGGCAGGTTCGCTTAGACCTATGGGCTCTACCAGGCAGCTCTCAGCACACTGCTGGGGACAGGGGTGTCTCTAAGAGGTCACAGTGACCTCTAACACCTCCTTGGGTTGATATTTCCTCTGGGTTATTCTGATGGGCTTGCTGAAGAGGAAGGTGAGGCAGGAAGGGCTCAGGGCTGGACATCTGTGCTGAAATGCAAATCTTTGTTCCTGCCTGATATGCCACAATGCCACGGGCAGTGCAGGGTGAACACCAGGCTGGTGGCACCTCTGGTGAGAGCAGCTGATCAGAGCATCATCTGGTGCTCGGGCATGTTTCTATGTCTTTGCACATAGCTCTGTAGAGCAATTTTCATACATGCTTTGACCCTTTTAAACTGGTTTTGTTCCCCGTGATTGTTTCTTGGAACTGTGAGCTGAAATTTAGATTCACAGTGTCCACGAGCACACACACACACACACACACACACACCAGTTCCAAACAGAGCAGCACCTGAGGCTTGCCCCTAATGGGACACACTGACCAGTAGTTATGGCCAAGTAGACACACCAGGTAGTATGGCTGAGAATCACCAGGCTGCCCAGTGGTGGTCACCAAGTGTTAGAAATGCCACCAACTTCCACAGGGCTGCTCACCACTGTGGCTTGGTTGTTAAGGGCAGTGGCATTTTTCTTGCCTGAGGACACTGGTGCTGGGATGTGAGCCACAGTATGGGACAAAGAGAAGAACAAGGGTAACCTGTATACTGAGAGGCCCCACTGGCCGTTCTGTGCAAGCACAGTTGCCATGTAGGTGAAATGAAATCACTGTCTGTACAGTGTGTGCAAACAAGCTAAAGTGCCTTTCTAACTCTTCAATTCCATTTCAGAAACACGAAGATGAGAGTGAAGCTTGGCTCCACAGACAGGTAACTCCACATGCCAGTCCCCATGCTCCCATCGCCCTGACCCCTAGCCCAGTGGTTCTCAACCTTCCTGATGCTCTGGCCCCTTAATACAGTCCTTCCTGTCATGCTGACCCCCAACCATTATTTTCATTGCTACTCTATAAGTGCAATTTTGCTAGTATGAATTGTAATTATCTATGTTTTCCATTGCTCTTAGATTACACCTGTGAAAAGGTCATTCGACAGCCTCTCCCCAAGGGGTTGTGACCCACAGGTTGAGAAGCACTAGCCCTCACAGGGGTGGGTACTATGGCTTTCATATATGGGAGTCACGTGAGGATCCCCGTCCATTCAGGATCATCCAAGTGTGTGTGCTGTTGGGATTGGGGCAGTGTGTACACAGCCATCTCTTCTTCATCCTCCTGAGATGCTTGCCAGACAGTGCTGTGGGAGCCAAGTTCCCTAGGTGGTAGTTTGGAAGTCACTGCCCCTCAGGACAATGATGGGAAAGATCTCAGCTCCTACTCAGATGATGTAGTTGGTGAATTCAAAACAGTGAGCCCAGAAGATCGCCCAGATGTGGTCTGTAATGGCAAGCGATGACAATGTGGTTGGTACTCCCTTCTATCTCAGGCATGGTGTTTTATAGCTGTGACCTCTCTCAGTGAAAAGTTTCCTCAGGAACTTGACCCTAGAACCATCCCGGATTATTTTCCCCTCCACAACTCAGAAAGGCATCTGAGAGCAGGCTCTGGAGGCTGGAGGTTGAAAGAGATTGAAGGTTCGGGGTGTGGCTCAATGGTAAAGCACTTAGCAACGTACCTGAGACTCTTGGTCCAGCACCGAGCATTGAAACACAGAAAGCAATCAGGGGGGACTGGAGAGGCAGCTCAGTGGGTAAGATTCATACTGCCCTTGGTGAGAAGGGAAGTTCATATCACAGCCTCAATGCCAAGTAGCTCAAAACTGCCAGTAACTCCAGCTCAGGTGGCCATGTCTCAAGGCCCTCTTCTGACCTCCGGGGGCCTCCACACTCATGTGCACATATTCATACACAAATACACATGATTTTTAATTAAAATAGATCCTTAAAATAAGAGATATCAGGAGACGCCTAAGCAAATCCCCCTGTCATACTTTTTTTTTGACACAATATACCCAGAGAGTGACCCGAGCACTAGTATGTCTGTCTAGATTCTCTTGTCCCATTCCACACTCTTGCGTGAGAAAGAACAGAGTTCAGAGAACTTACTTCTCTTTTATTCCATTTGAGGCAATAAAATTACCTTCAAATCCGGTTACAAAAATCAAAACAGATTTAAATCCAAAAAAAAACAAAAAAAAAACAAAAAAACAAAAAAACAAAAAACAAAAAAAACAAAAAAAAAAAAAAAAAAAAACAAAAAAACAAAAAAACAAAAAACAAAAAAAACATTGCAGAGAGGGCTCCGGGCATAGCCCAGTGGAAGAGCTCTTGCTTAACATGTCCAAAGTCCCGGGCTCCATTCACAACAAAGAATATAAAAGGATTATGACTAAGAAGCACAGGTATGTTTTTCAATGACATGGAGATTCTATGTGTTGAAAATACAATTATCAACAATGGCTCCTGTGTTGGTTACTTTCCTGTTGCTGTGATAAAACACAAGGACTAAAAACAACTTACGAATGAGAGTTTATTTTGACTTATGGTTACAGAGGGACAGGGTCCATCATGGTAGGAGCCATGACAGGGAGAGGGAGATATGTGGCAAGCACAGGAAGCTGGGAGTTCACATCTTCAACCACAAACACAAAGCAGAGAAAGCAACCGGAAGTGGGGTGAGCCTATGAACTTCAAAGCCTTCCCCTAGTGATCTACTTCCCTGGCTGCACCACCTCTCCACACACCACCTCCAGCTGAGGACCACGTGTTCAAACACTACACAGGACATTTCTCATCCAAAGCTCCACAGCACCCAGGAGTACTCTGGGACCGAGATGACCACACATCTTTTGTCACTTAGCAGAGTAAGAGCCTCACAAATGCAGTTACTTCTGAACGTATCTTTTCTCAACTCAATGCCAATCTTATCCAAAAGAGAAGTGGTTCGGTGGAGTCACTTTATTTCCCTCTTTCCAAGTTTGGGTGCCAAGTCCAAACCAAGAGTTTAGCAAGAGAGATGCAAAAGGCACTGTGAGGTACGAGGGTGCCCCAGAGTTCTTCATCCCACCTGGACCATCAGCATCTAAAGCATTATTTGTATGCTCATCTTATACCAGAAAAGTGTCAGATAAGAAAGAAAGAATCAATGAGGTGTTAATCCCAGCCCGGCAGAAGCAGGCAGATCTCTGTGAGTTCGAGGCCAGCCTGGTCTCCAGAGCGAGTGCCAGGATAGGCTCCAAAGCTACACAGAGAAACCCTGTCTCGAAAAACCAAAAAAAAAAGGGGGGGAGAGGAAGGAAGAAGTAATCACTTTTTGTTTTTTAAATTATTTCATTTATTTTACATACCAACCACAGTTTCCCTCCCTCCTCTCCTCCCCTGTTCCCTACTCCCACCTTCTTCCCTCCCCCCATCCACTCCTCCTCTGTCTCCATTCAGAAAGGATAAGGCCTCCCATGGGAGTCAACAGAGCATGGCATATCAAATTGAGGCAGGAACAAGCTCCTCCTGCCTCATCAAGGCTGAAAAAAGGCATCCCACCATAGGGAATAGGTTCCAGCGATCAGGACATGTCCTGGTCCCATTGCTAGGGGCCCCACAAACAGACCAAGCTACACAACTGTCACCCAGACGCAAAAGGCCTATGCTGGCCCTCTAGCTGTCTGTCCAGAGTCCCTGAGCTCCCATAAGCTCAGGTCAGCTGTCCCTGTGGGTTTCCCTGTCATGATCTTGACACCCCCTGCCCCCACTCATATAAAATTGCTTCCCCCTCTCTTCAACTGGGCTCCCAGAGCTCATCCCAGTGCTTGGCTGTGGGTCTCTGCATCTGCTTCCATTGGTTACTGGATGGCAACAGCTAGGGTAGCCATCAATCTGAATACAGGAGAATGCCGGTTCAGTCACCCTCTCCAGTATTGCTAGGAGTCTTAGCTGGGCTCATCCTTGTGGATTCCTGGGAGTTTCCCTGGCACCAGGTTTCCCCTAACCCCACAATGGCCCCCTCTATCAGGAAATCTCAGGAAAGAAATAATCATTTTTATATATAAATTTTATTTAAATTAGAAACAAGCTTGTTTTACATGTCAATCCCAGTTCCCTCTCCATCCCCTCCTTCCCTGCCCCCCACTGACACCCTATCCCAATCCCCTTCTGCTCCCCAGTAAGGGTGAGGCTTTCCATGGGGGATCTTTAAAATCTGTCACATCGTTTGGAGCAGGGCCTAGACCCTCCCAAGTGTATCTAGGCTGAGAGAGCATCCCTCTATGTGGAGAGGGATCCCAAAATTCATTTGTTTTAAAGCTGTTATCTATATTGTCTATATTAAACTGCTACTTAAGAATTGCATCCAACACCATGCTAGACTATGTAAATTTTGAAAATTATTATAGTCAAGGACATATTTAAGTCCACAGCTAACATGAAACTCAACTGTGAAAAATGAGAAAGCCTTCCTGTGGTGTGACACTATTCCTGGGCAGATGTAAACAAACATCTGCTCACCCCAGATAGGGAACCAATGACAGACCAAAGTAAGGCTACTACCCAAGTCCAACCTGGTGTACCAAGGAGCTTCGATGGGGTTACTTATAAGTATATTGGTGAGGAGATGCTTACAAGAGCAAAACCAGCTAAAAGACAGCTGCTTCAGTAAAAGCCCACCCCAGTATGGGTAGCAGATGACAAAAGCTGGAAACCTTGGAGCACACTGAACAACTTACAGACATCCCAACAGATTGGAGATTGCCTTTTCCAGGTAACTCAGCTGGCCTGAGTCACTTCCAAGTGACTTGAGTCCTTAGAGCTGCTATACTCTTGAGAAGAGAGGGACTGAGTAACCCTGGTCAGTTTCAGGGACTTCCTGAGACTATTGAGTTGTTAATTTCCTGAGTGTAATGAGCTTCTCTGAGGGATGAAATGTTATCTCCCTTAGATTCACCTCTTTTAACATCTGTATATTAATGAGCTTTCCTCCACGACAGAAGGTTTTAATCTTGGAGGAAACTGCTATAGAAAACTTCCCTTTAAATGAGGTGAAACGCAATGTTTACTCACGCTTATGGCTTCTATTCAGCATGGATCTGAGAGTCCCTGGCAGAATAACTAGGCAAGAAAGAGCCCTGAAAGGAGGGAATTAATTTCTCCCTGTTTTTATTCTGTTTTCAGATGGCATAATCTTATGTGTAGTAAATGCTAAAGATTTTACACACACATACATGTGTGTGTTGTGTGTATATATACATATATTCATATGTATATGTATGTATATATATACATATATATATATATACATTAGAATAAAGACAGTGAAATATAGGATATATAATCAGTGTATAAAAATCAGTAGCATTTCTTCTGCAGGATTCCCTGAGCTCAGCCGAATGTCTGGCTGTGGATCTCTGCATCTGTTTCCACCAGTTTCTGGATGAAACGTCTCTGATGACTATTGGGCTAGGCACCAATATGAATGCAGCTATGAATATAGCAGAATATCATTAGGAATCATTACGATGGCATTTTTCCCCAGTAGTGTTTGCTTCTATCATAGGTCTCTGGGCCATCCAGCCACTTGGTCCTGGTGCTCCAGGCATTTTAAGGGGCAGGCTCACCCTCATGGCATGGGTCTCAGGTTGGACCAGTCACTGGTTGGCCACTCCCACTATCTCTGTGCCACTCTTACCCCCCAGCACACCCCATAGGCTGAAAAGACTGTAGGTCAAGGTTATGTGGCTGGGTTGGTGTCCCAATCCCCCCACGGGAAGTCTTACCCCATCACAGGAGATGGCAAGTTCTGGAAATCCTGCTGAAGAGAGGGAGGAAGGATGGTAGGAACCAGAGGGGTCGAGGATACCACAAGAAAACCCACAGAACTAACTAA